GGGTTGAGCTTTACCTGAGTATTGGAATTTGTTGTGTTTTCAGATTACGACTTATTGATGCTTGGACCTTTGGCCTATTATCAAGGACATAACTATAGCTATAGGATGCTATGGGGCCCAAATCTGTTTGGCTACCGTATGGTTTGTTAAGGCATTACTAGCATTTGGTAAACACATTTGGAGAAAGCCAACACTTCTGAATGATCGTTATGAAAATTATCATTCACAGATTAATCGGATATTAGAGAAACAAGGATACTATAATGGTTTTGCTTTGGTGCCCCATCACATGTAATTATGGACCTGCCTACTATTATATATTTACTATACGTCATTACAGAGTACTAAGACTCCGACCTGGTAAATTCTAGGCAAAAGTTTTCACTCCCTTGCTAGAGAAAGTCTTTTATGTGGCTGTTGTGTTCTTTTTAACCTGTACGCCCCCTATGGACCAGGGACATTTTTACCTATGCACCCACCACATCAAATTACCCCGGTACAAATCATTAGTAAGACCTCATCTGGAATATGCAGTTCAGTTTTGGGCACCAATTCACAAAAAGAACATTGGGGAACTGGAGAGAAAGTACAGAGAAGGGCAACCAAACTGATACGAGGCATGGAGGAGATCAGCTATGAGGAAAGATTAGAGGAACTGAATTTATTCTCTCTTGAGAAGAGGAGAGTAAGGGGGATATGATCTCCATGTATAATACATAAGGGGGGGGATATGATCTCCATGTATAATACATAAGGGGGGATATGATCTCCATGTATAATACATAAGGGGGATATGATCTCCATGTATAATACATAAGGGGGGGTATTATCTTCATGTATAATACATAAGGGGGGATATGATCTCCATGTATAATACATAAGGGGGGATATGATCTCCATGTATAATACATAAGGGGGGATATGATCTCCATGTATAATACATAAGGGGGGATATGATCTCCATGTATAATACATAAGGGGGGGATATGATCTCCATGTATAATACATAAGGGGGATATGATCTCCATGTATAATACATAAGGGGGATATGATCTCCATGTATAATACATAAGGGGGGGATATGATCTCCATGTATAATACATAAGGGGGGATATGATCTCCATGTATAATACATAAGGGGGATATGATCTCCATGTATAATACATAAGGGGGGGGGATATGATCACCATGTATAATACATGAGGGGGGATATGATCACCATGTATAATACATAAGGGGGATATGATCTCCATGTATAATACATAAGGGGGGATATGATCTCCATGTATAATACATAAGGGGGGATATGATCTCCATGTATAATACATAAGGGGGATATGATCTCCATGTATAATACATAAGGGGGGGATATGATCTCCATGTATAATACATAAGGGGGGGATATGATCTCCATGTATAATACATAAGGGGGAATATGATCTCCATGTATAATACATAAGGGGGGGATATGATCTCCATGTATAATACATAAGGGGGGGGGGATATGATCTCCATGTATAATACATGAGGGGGGATATGATCACCATGTATAATACATAAGGGGGGGATATGATCTCCATGTATAATACATAAGGGGGGATATGATCTCCATGTATAATACATAAGGGGGGGATATGATCTCCATGTATAATACATGAGGAGGGATATGATCACCATGTATAATACATAAGGGGGGATATTATCTCCATGTATAATACATAAGGGGGATATGATCTCCATGTATAATACATAAGGGGGATATGATCTCCATGTATAATACATAAGGGGGGGATATGATCTCCATGTATAATACATAAGGGGGGATATGATCTCCATGCATAATACATAAGGGGGATATGATCTCCATGTATAATACATAAGGGGGGGGGATATGATCACCATGTATAATACATGAGGGGGGATATGATCACCATGTATAATACATAAGGGGGATATGATCTCCATGTATAATACATAAGGGGGGATATGATCTCCATGTATAATACATAAGGGGGGATATGATCTCCATGTATAATACATAAGGGGGATATGATCTCCATGTATAATACATAAGGGGGGGATATGATCTCCATGTATAATACATAAGGGGGGGATATGATCTCCATGTATAATACATAAGGGGGAATATGATCTCCATGTATAATACATAAGGGGGGGATATGATCTCCATGTATAATACATAAGGGGGGGATATGATCTCCATGTATAATACATGAGGGGGGGGGGATATGATCACCATGTATAATACATAAGGGGGGGATATGATCTCCATGTATAATACATAAGGGGGGGATATGATCTCCATGTATAATACATAAGGGGGGGGATATGATCTCCATGTATAATACATGAGGAGGGATATGATCACCATGTATAATACATAAGGGGGGATATTATCTCCATGTATAATACATAAGGGGGGATATGATCTCCATGTATAATACATGAGGGGGGATATGATCTCCATGTATAATACATAAGGGGGATATGATCTCCATGTATAATACATGAGGGGGGATATGATCACCATGTATAATACATAAGGGGGGATATGATCTCCATGTATAATACATAAGGGGGATATGATCTCCATGTATAATACATAAGGGGGGATATGATCACCATGTATAATACATAAGGGGGGATATGATCTCCATGTATAATACATAAGGGGGGGGGATATGATCTCCATGTATAATACATAAGGGGGGATATGATCTCCATGTATAAATACATCAGTGGTTCATATAGTGAACTCGGTGTAGAGCTATTCCCCCTGAGGTCATCACAGAGGACAAGGGGACACTCTTTACGTCTGGAGGAAAAGAAATGTAATCTCCAAACACAGAAAGGGTTCTTCACAGTAAGAGCTGAGAAAATGTGGAATAGACTCCCTCAAGAGTTGGTTCTGGCCAGCTCAGTGGATTGCTGTAGGAAAGTCCTGGATTCTTTCTTGGATACACAGAATATAACTGGATACTAACATTTATAGGTAAAGTTGATCCAGGGAATACCCGATTGCCTCTCGGGGGATCAGGAAGGAATTTTTTTCCCTGCAGGAGCAAATTGGATCGTACTTTGCTGGGTTTTTTTCTTTCCTCTGGATCAACTGTGGGTGTAAGATTATACATTTTTTTTTTTAATGGTTGAACTGGATGGACTTTTGTCTCTTTTCAGCCAGACTAACTATGTAACATCTAATGACTGGTGACCTGCAATATATATAATAAATGTTTTTCCTTCGGTTTACATACTTTTAAAGAAGATGTACAAATTGAAAATAAAGCAGTATTGCTGACTAAATCTTCTCTCTTATAGGTGTGACTGTCGTTGTTTCAGGTAAGTACATTAAATGAAAATCTGAATGCAAGATATCTCAGCCTCTGTGTTCGGATTCTGCGTTTTTCGGATTATTATGTGTATAGGGAATCCTACAAACACATGGCAACCACCACAACCTATAACCGGCAAGAAGCACATTCCCAGCTCACTTACCAACCAGTCTGCAACAAACTGAATTGTCCCTGTCTAACCGTTCACGTTAAAACCAGATGTTTAGTTTGCACACATATATGCGTAAGCTGCAGAGGCCACATCACGGCATCCCAACGTGCCGCAGTCCTAGCTCTATAAATTTTGAGTCTCCAAAGTCGGAGCCCATAAATAATAATAATGGATAGATTGAGGGCAGCTATGTCTGGAGGGAGCCCACCCTTCCTTAACCACTTCAAGTCCGGACACTTTTACCCCCTTCCTGTCCAGGCCAATTTTCAGCTTTCAGCGTTATCACACTTTGAATGACAATTGCGCGGTCATGCAACATTGTACCCATATGAATTTTTTTAGCATTTTTTTGAGACAGATAAAGCTTTATTTTAGTGGTATTTATTCACCACAAGGATTTTTATTTTTTTTTGCTATATAAATGAAAAAGTCCAAAAAGTTTGAAAAAAGTGTTTTTCTTATAAAATTTTGCAAATAAATAATATTTCATCATAAATCTATTCAGTTATCTATTTAGTAAAAAAAAATAATAACCCAAATTAGTTTAAAACCAAAAATGTAACAATGTTTTTTTTACATTTTTATTTTTTTATATTATTATTTATGTTTTTTTTTTACATATTGTCACCCTAGCCCTACTGTGTCACCATGGTGAAACTGTACTACTTGTGGGGGGGTGATGAAGATTTTTTTTTTTTTTTACACTGATTGCTTTTACACCCATAAAGGCTGTAAAAGCAATAATTTCTCCTTCTCTCTGTACTACTGTGTGAGGTGTGATTGGTCACAGCTTGTCACATGGTACAAAGCTGTTGTGAATAGCCCTGTAGAGCGAAATAAAAACGAGAAGCGCACAAACCTTGCGCATTACCTCAGTAAACACAAATTTATTAATCAGAAAGGTACTCACAAACAGCGAATAAAATCAGAAGGTTTGGCCTTCGAAACGCGTCAGCTGAACTGAGTGCTTACCCCCACGATGGGACTCGCGCTGGCTCTCTATCTCTGAAGTCCCTGTGAGGACTGACATGCCTGATTTTATTCGCTGTTTGTGAGTACCTTTCTGATTAATAAATTTGTGTTTACTGAGGTAATGCGCAAGGTTTGTGCGCTTCTCGTTTTTATTTCGCTCTGTAGTGTTGGTCGGGCTTCCCCAGCCTTGTTTGGAGCTGCACAACCTTTGAAGCACTGGTGGTCGGTGTTTGTCCAGTTCTGGTTCCATCTATGTGCCACCCGCCTGGGTCCTTGAGCGCAGAAGAATTCGTGTTTGGTCTACTGTGAATAGCCCTGTACCATGTGACCTCTGTGATCATTCACAGATTTCACACGTAGTAAGCAATGATGTCAGAAGTGACATCTTGCTTACTACTCTGCATGTGATCACTGGCCAATCAGTGATCACATGATCGGGACCTCACGCAGAGGTCCTGTACGACGATCGTTGTTCCACTGTGTTTGGAGGACACAGAGGTCACCAGATCGCGGTGCTGTGCACTCCCAAGGAGTGCGCACAGTCCAAAATGGCGGGCGCAGTTTATGAACGGCAACCCGCCCCTGGACTGCGACTGTCCGGCTGTTTGTATACAGCGGCCGGACGGCAAGTGGTTAAAGGTTTGTGGACACACTGAACACCCAGCAGGGGCGGACTGACAACTCATGGGGCCCCCGGGCAATAGGGGATCATAGGGCCCCTGTGTCCTTGCCCAAACTCAAAAAAAGCCTATGAAAAAGGTACCAGGGGCATCTCATGGGGCCCCCCTACTGACCCCGGGCCCTCGGGAGTGCCTGAGTTTCCAAATGGTCAGTTATTTTCTATTCTGTTTTGTTCTTTGCTATTCTAATCTTTTCTGTTCTATTTTAATCTATTCTATTTGAATTTATTCTATTCGAAATTTGAATTTCGAAAGACGATTCTTTATATTTTATTCTAAAAATTTTTTTTGCTATTCTATTCTTTTATTTTCTATTCTATTTCATTCCATTTTTTCCTATTCTATTCTGTTCTAATCTATTCTATTTGAATTAGGATTTATTCAATTCAAAATTCATATTTTGGAAGATGGTTATATTCTATTTATTCTATTCTGTTGTTTATTCTATTCTATTCTTTTATTTTCTATTCTATTATTTTCTATTCTAATACATTTGTATTTGAATTTATTCTATTCACAATTTGAATTTTGGAAGACGGTTGTATTAAATTTTATTCTATGTTATCGTTTTTCTATTCTATCGATTTTTTTTAATTTCTATTCTATTCATTTCTATTCTATTTCCTTATTTTCTATCCTATTTTGTAGTTTTATATTCTTTATTTTCTATTGTCTTCTGTTTTTTCTCTATTCTTTTCATTTATTTTCTATTCTATTGTTTTATTTTCTATTCTTTTCTGTTCTGTTTTACTCTATTCTAGTTTGTCGTATTATATTCTTTTATTTTCTATTCTCTTCTGTTTTACTCTATTCTATGCTGTTCTATTCATTTATTTTCTATTCTTTTCTGTTCTGTTTTACTCTATTCTTTTATTTTATATTCTATTCTATTTTTTCTATTGTATTCCTTTCATTCCTATTCTATTATTTCTATTCTATTTCCTTATTTTCTATTCTGTCTTGTCTTATTATATTCTTTTTTTTTCTATTCTGTTTTACTCTAGTCTATGCTATTATGTTATTTTATTTTCTGTTCTATTCTGTTCATTTATTTTATATTCTATTCTTGTGTTTTCTATTCTTTTCTGTTCTGTTTTACTCTATTCTTTTATTTTATATTCTATTTATTTCTATTTTATTCTTTTATTTTATATTCTGTTTTACTCTAGTCTATGCTATTATATTATTTTATTTTCTATTGTATTCTGTTATATCCCTTCATTTTCTATTCTATTCTGTTTTTTTCTATTCTGTTCATTTATTTTATATTCTATTCTTGTATTTTCTATTCTTATATGTTCTGTTTTACTCTATTCTTTTATTTTCTATTCTATTTATTTCTATTTTATTCTTTTATTTTCCATTCTATCTTATTGTAGTCTTGTTTTCCAAAATTAAATTTTGTTATTTCAGATTCGTTTAAATTTGTTACTATCTCAAATGAAAAATTTGTCTGAATTTGAATTCTGAAAGAAATGATCCACACGTGCCTAAAATCTGATATGAGGCCTCTAAAAGGAGACTCACATTTATTTGAAACTTCATTACTTTGTTTACCGAAAACTGTTGTTCTGAATAACACCATGATGATTGCGGAAAGTAAAATGTATTCATTCATTTAAATGAAATTCCTTCATCTATAAAACTGATGATCTTGGCCTGTGAATCTTTGCAAATAATGTGATGTGGTCTAGTCTAGATCACTTTTACTGGAAGGCCAGGAGCCTGCAGTGGAACACGTCATTGACAGTCAGAGATGGCAATCTGGGATGGCGGTTTTTTTTTCTGACACCGTTGCCCAGCTTGGCGGCGTCCCCATAAATGTTAGGAGAGATTATATAGCCATGATAAGAAAAGCGAAGATGCTAAAAATGAGACTGATGCCTTTCAGTTTCCTGTTAGTCAGTAGGTGTGAAAAAATTGCAGAAAGCCATTGAGTCCACAGAAAGACCATTTGAGGCTTGCTAAACCCAAGAAGAAAAATGTAGGTTTGCAATATATTTCAGCTTACCAGTCCTTAGGTATGGTGGCTGCATTAGTTTTCTATTTTCCGGATCAGTACATTTTTCTCAACCACAAAAACTTGTACTCTCCCCTACAAAAAATACACAAGAGGGCGCCTTACCTGGATACAAAATTTATTAATATAAAATGATGACAAATTATTATTATTATACAGGATTTATATAGCGCCAACAGTTTGCGCAGCAATTACAATACATTTCTGTACAGAAGGAATAGGAGGGCCCGGCTCGTGGAGCTTACAATCTAAAGGAAGGGGGAGGTGATACAAAAGGTGATAACTGCGGGGATGATCTGGCGGAGGTGATTCAAGTACAGTTCTTAGATGGAGGTGGGGTAGGCTTCCCTGAAGAAGTGAGTTTTCAAAGATCGCCTAAAGGCAGACAGGGTGGGGGCTGACCGCACATGCTGTGGTAGGGAGTTCCAGAGGATGGGAGAGGCTCTGGAGAAGTCCTGGAGGCAAGCGTGAGAGGAGGTGATGAGGGAGACAAATGGATACTCACAAACAAAACTGTGTGGTAGGCTGACATCAAAATGCTTTTGGTATGGGAGATCAACCCTTCCTGGAAATATCTGGTTGAAAAAGCTGACGTGTTTCAGGAGCTAAACTGCCTTCCTCAGAGCTATAGAGTCATAAAAAAAAACTTCACTCTCTCAATCAACATTGACTATTTTTAAATCTTATGCTGGTAGCATTAGTAAATAGGCAGTACTAAGGTTGTTGGTTCGAATCCAAACCACGGCGCCACCTGCCTGGAGTTTGCATGTTCTCCCTGTGCCTGCGTGGGTTTCCACTGGGTTCTCCAGTTTCCTCCCACACTCCAAAGACATTTGGGTTGTTGGTTTGAATCCCAACCACAGCACCACCTGCCTGGTGTTGGCATGTTCTCCCTGTGCCTGTGTGGGTTTCCTCTGGGTGCTCTGGTTTCCTTCCACACTCCAAAGATATTTGGGTTGTTGGTTTGAATCCCAACCACAGCACCACCTGCCTGGAGTTTGCATGTTCTCCCTGTGCCTGTGTGGGTTTCCTCTGGGTGCTCTGGTTTCCTCCCACCTCCAAAGATATTTGGGTTGTTGGTTCGAATCCCAACCACAGCACCACCTGCCTGGAGTTGCCATGTTCTCCCTGTGCCTGTGTGGGTTTCCTCTGGGTACTCCGGTTTCCTCCCACACTCCAAAGACATCTGGGTCGGCCGGCGCCGTGGAGGACAGAAGGAGAGAAGGGATTGCGCGGGTGAGAAAATTGCTGGACCCCAGTACAGGTGAGTGAGTGTTTATTAGAAGTCAGCAAATACAGTTTTTGCAGCTGCTGACTTTTAACCACTTCCAGTCCGGACACTTTCCCCCCCTTACTGCCCAGGCCAATTTTCAGCTTTCAGCGCTATCACACTATGAATGACAATTGCGCGGTCATGCAACACTGTACCCATATGAATGTTTTAGCATTTTTTTGAGACAGATAAAGCTTTATTTTGGTGGTATTTATTCACCACTGGGATTTTTATTTTTTTGCTATATAAATGAAAAAGTCCAAACATTTTGAAAAAAAAAAGTGTTTTTTCTTATAAAATTTAGCAAATAAATAATCTTTCTTCATAAATCTTGGCCAAAATGTATTCAGCTATCTTTTTAGCAAAATTGATTGCATGAATCGGGACCTCACACAGAGTTCTGTACACCGGATCGCGGTGCTGTGCGTTCCCAGGAGCGCGCACAGGCAGTGAATCCTGCACTGCTTCTGTCTGGCCGTTTATGTACATGGGCCGGACAGGAAGTGGTTAACCACTTGCTGTCCGCCTGCTGTTTATAAACGGCAGGACGGTGGCACTCCAGGGGCGGGTTGCCGTTCATAAACGGCACCCGCCATTTCTAGCTGGGAGCATGCAGCACCGCGATACGGTGCCCGCTGTGTCCTCCGGACACAGTGAAACACCGATCGTCGGAAGGGACCTCTGTACAAGGTCCCGATCATGTGATCGTTGATTGGCCAATCAGTGATCACATGCAAAGTAGTAAGCAAGATGTCACTTGTGACATCATTGCTTACTACGTGTGAAATCTGTGAATGATCACAGAGGTCACATGGTACAAGGCTATTCACAACAGCCTTGTACCATGTGACAAGCTGTGACCAATCACAACTCACTCAGTATTTCTCAATGGCTGCAATAATGCAGACAGAGAGAAAGAGAAATGATTGCTTTTACATCCTATATGGGTGTAAAAGCAATCAGTGTAAAAAAAAAAAAAAAATCTTCATCACCCCCCCACAAGTAGTACAGTGTCACCATGGTGACATTGTACTGCTAGGGTGACAGTATGTAAAAAAAAAAAAAAAAAAAAACATAAATAATAATATAAAAAAAAATAAAATAAAAATATAAAACATTTTTTAAAAATTTATAATTTTTGGTTATAAACTAATTTGGCTTATTTTTTTTTTGCTAAAAAGATAACATTTCGGCCAAGATTTATGATGAAAGATTATTTATTTGCAAAATTTTATCAGAAAAACACTTTTTTTTTCAAAATTTTTGGACGTTTTCATTTACATAGCAAAAAAAATAAAAATCCCAGCGGTGAATAAATACCACCAAAATAAAGCTTTATCTGTCTCAAAAAAAAATGCTAAAAAATTCATATAGGTACAGTGTTGTATGACCGCGCAATTGTCATTCAAAGTGTGATACCGCTGAAAGCTGAAAATTGCCCTGGACAGGAAGGGGGGTGAAAGTGTCCGGACAGGAAGCGGTTAATAATGGTAAAAGCACCGTACAATAAAAATTTAATTTTGCTGGAATTGTATCAATTTATTTTAATTATTAAAATAAATTGTAAAACCTTTGGGCACCTTTTGACAGCAGAGTTGGGTCAGGTAACGTTGCCAGAAGGCAAAGTTGAACCGTCCCCAAAAAAAAAATAATTCTAGGATTGTAAACGATGATACACTTTTTTGGGGTAAAATTTTGGGGGTACTGTTAGAAAGGGTCAATATAACCAAAAAAAGGACTTTCACTTTGGTTGGGTGTTTATACCAATTGCAGAATTTTCCAAGGAGCCGGTGGTGACTTTCACTCCAGACT